TATATATATATATATAATTAGTGAACAGACACTAAACAAATGCAAACAATTTAACAAAAGCAAACGCAGCCCCTTTTAGCCGTTGACGCCTTCTGAGGTGTACGTACACCTGATGACTTGCTGAAGCCACGCGATTGGCTAGCTAGCTACCTAGCTAGCCAATCGCGTGGGCGGCTACCTAGCTAGCTAGCTAGCTAGCTAGCTAACACCCTTCCATCCGGCCGTCACACAGGTTCCCTCACTGGCCGCTAGGCAGCCAGCTAGCCAACTGGCTAGCTGGCTAGCTAGGCTATCTGGCTAGCTAGCTAGGGGAGACAGACAGTTGGCTAGATAAGCTATCTAGCTGGCTACCTAGGCTATCTAGCTAGCTAGCTAAGGGTGACATCTAGTTGAACAGATAGGCTGTCTAGCTAGCTATCTGAGGGAGAGAGACAGTTGGCTAGCTAGGCTATCTAGCTAGCTAGCTGAGGGAGACAGCCAGCTGGTTTAGTCAGGCAGTTGGCTAGCTAGCTGCGTCTTGGAGGGCCTTTAGCAGCTAGCCAAGGAGTATCACACAACGAAGTAAAGGAGACAGTTAAACAAAGGAGACAGTGAAATAAAGGAGACAGTGAGGAAGTAAAGGAGACAGTTAAATAAATGAGACAGTCTTAGAGAGCCCTTGCAGAAGGACAAGGAGAGCAGCTCAAATGCAAGCAACCACAAGCAAGCCGCACGCAGGGCAACAGCAGCAGCAGCAGTAGCAGCAGCCGCTGCTGCTGCTGCTACTGCTGCTGCTGTGCATGCGTGCACAGTGTGTGGTCACTCTGCTGCCTCCGCCCAGTTGGTGCTGCAGTCGCCAGTAGTGTTGCTAGTGCAGCTTGCTGCAGCAGCAAAATAATGCAGCACCAGCAAGCCAGTAGTGCTGCAGCAGCAAGCCAATAATGCTGCAGCAGCAAGCCAATAATGCTGCAGCAGAAAGCAAGTCCCTGCAGCAGCAAGCTAGTCCCTGCGGAAGAGCAATGCTGCAGCACAAAGCTGCAGCACCTTGCTGCTGCGGCAGCACCAACCCAACAATGCTGTGGCAGCAAGCCATTACGTTGCTGCTGCTGCTGCTGCAGCACAGCACATTTGTCTCTACCTGCGTTTGTACTTCTTCTTCGATTTAAAACTGCTGCGGCCTGGAGGGGCGCCCCTTCTCTTCCTTGCAGCAGCACCATTACTATCTGTTTTGTGCCGCTTATTGCTGCTGCTGCTGCTGCTGCTGCTGCTGGTGTCTGCTGTGGGTCTCTTTCTTTTCCTACGCTGTTTCTGCTGCTGTCTTCGCCTTCCAAGGGCTCCGCTCCCCTCCTCTTCATTCTCACGATCCATTCGTATCCGCTGAGGCCTTGCACTCCTGCAGCAGCAGCAGCGGCAGCAGCAACAGCAGCAGCAGCAGCAGCAGCAGCAGCAGCAAACAGACCCCAAAGGTATGGGAGATATCACTCGCATATACCCAAACCATTTAAAGCAGTAAACAAAAAACGATTTTGCTGCAGCAGCAGCTGTCCCTGTTGCTGCAGCTGCTATTTCACCGCAGCATTCCTGCAGCAGCAGCAGCAGGAACTGCTGCTGCTGCTGCTGCTGCTGTTGCTGCTCTGTTCAACTCACTTCTTTCGAGAACGAGCCGCTGCCTTCGCCACACGGTACTCTTGCATCCTCTGAGAAGCAGAGACCCCACAAGGTTTGCTTCGCTGCTGCAGCTGCTTTCCTTGCTGCTGCTGCTGCTGCTGCTGCTCTCTTTGCTTCTGCTGCCTTTCTTGCTGCTGCTGCTGCTTTTAGGGCTACGCTCGCAGCAGGGTCTGCTGCTGCAAGGGTGTGTAGAGAGCGGCTCACCTCCTTTTGCTTAGCAGTCAAAGGCGGGCGCTTCTCTTTCTTCCAGTGCTGCTGCTTCTGCTGCTGCAGCTGCTGCTGCAGCTTCGCCTTCTGTTCCTTTGTAGCCCTTAACTCCTTAAACTTAATCTTTGCTGCTGCTGCTGACGAAGAAGAAGAAGCAAATGCATCCTCTTCTTCTGTCTCGCTGCTGCCATCAGCCTCAGCAGTTACCCAGTCGGGCAGCTCTGCAGCACAAGCAGCAACACACACAAAGGTCGCTGCTGCTGCTGCTGCTGCTGATCTGGCTGCTGCTGCTGCTGCTGCTGCTGCTGATCTGGCTGCTGCTGCTGCTGTTGCAGTGGCTGTACCTTCACTGCTTTCTTCGTCTTCTTCTTCGGAGCTGCTGCCAGTTGCATCGCTGCTGCCTGACTCGGTTGTCTCTTCCTGCTGCTGCTGCTGTTGCTTATGCTTCTGGTTCTTGTTTGCTGCTGCCTCCGTGCTGCTGCTGCTGCTGCTGCTGCTGTTGACTAGAGCCCTTGCTTCCGCCTCCTCGCGTGACGCTTCCTGCAGTCTCCTTTTATCTCTTTTGCTCTCAAACCATTCGCGTTGAGGCCGCGAGTAAATCTCATCTACAGCAGCAGCAGCAGCAGCAACAGCAGCAGCAACAGCAGCAGCAGTAGCGGGAACATGCTCAAGTGAAGCGGCTGCGTCAGCTCTCTGGTGTCTCCTCCTGTCTCCTTCTATGAATTGTTGCTGCGAGCGAGAAGCCTATCTTATTTATTTTTGTCTCTACTTATTGCCTGTCTCTTTGAGGTGTCCCCTTCCCCTGGCTGCTGCTGTCTCCTTGCTGCTGCATCTGTCTGTTTCTTTGCTGCTGCTGCTGCTGCTCGTGCTTACACTGGTCCTGATGCCTACTCGTGCTGCAGCTGCTTGTGCTGCTGCTACTCGTGCTGCTGCTGCTCGTGCTGCTGCTGCTGCTGCTGCTGCTGCTCTTACCTGCATGTTGTTCAATGTTGTGGGCCTTAGCTAAGAACATCTGAGCCAGCCGCATTTCTCTCTCGAGTGTCTCCTCTTGTCTCTTCTTCTGAAGCGCCCCCTCTAGGCCCCGCAGCTGCATGCAGCAGCAGCACAACGCATTCGCTGCTGCTGTTGCTGCTGCTGAAGCAAACCGCATTCGCTTCTGCTGCTGCTGCACCAGCAGCAGCAAAACAAATCCGGGTCTGCTGCTGTTGCTGCTGTAGCTGTTCCTACTAATACTTGCGCAGCACTTGCTGCTGCTGCTGCTGCTGCTGCTGCTGCTGCTGTGGCACAGGCCAAGCATCCGAGGAAGGAGACACTGAAAGAAGTGATGAAGATAGTTGGGGAGACAGAGAGAAATTAAAAAACAAAACAAAAAGTAAAAGACAGACAGAGACAGTTAGAAGGAGACACCTGAAAAGAGACAGAGACAACCCTCGCAAAAGAGCAGCAGCAAACCTCCCGACTTACTTCCTTAGCAATGACTTCCAGCTTAGCGCTGTCTATCCTCCTCCGCAGCACCTGCTGCTGCCCCTTATGCTGCTGCTGCTGCTGCTGCTGCTGCTGTTTGTTTCTTCCTCCTACTGCAGCAAGGAGTCTCTTAACAGCTAGACGCTCTGAGGTGTCTCTGTTGTATATTGTTATCGCTACACCGTGACGCCCCATTCGGGCTGTCCTCCCCACACAGTGTACATAGCTAAGCAGACAAAAGGAGACAGCACAAGCAGACAAAAGGAGACAGTAGAAGCAGACGAAAGGAGACAGTAGAAACAGATAAAAGGAGACAGTAGAAGCAGACGAATGGAGACAGTAGAAACAGATAAAAGTAGACAGTAGAAGCAGAGAAGAGAAGATAGCAGAAGATAAAAGGAGACAGCAGAAGATAAAAGGAGACAGCAGAAGATAAAAGGAGACAGCAAAAGATAAAAGGAGACAGCAGAAGCAGACAAAAGGAGACAGTACGGAGGGGGAAGAAGCGACATTAGAGATAAACAAGATACACAAGAAGAGACAGAGACAGAGGAGACAGAAGATAGACAGACAGACAAAGACAGGCATCACAACAACAGACAAAAGCAAAGACCAAGGAGACACAAGATATGGAGGAGACAGAGGAGACACGAGAGAAAAGAGAGACAGAAGCAAGCTCAGACATAAAAAGAAGAGACAGAAGAAGAGACAGCAGAGAAGCAGCAGCCAGCCTAAAGGCGAAGCCCTTAGCAGCAAACAAGAGACACAAGAAAACAAAAAAGGAGACAGCAATTGCTGCGCACCGCTCTACATCACTGGGGGGACAGAAATTAATAACTGCAGAGACATCTGCGACATCGAGACCTCTGCTAGCCAATTCACTCGCTAGCAGTATATCTGCTGCGCCTTGTTCAAACCTGCATGCAGCAGCAGCAGCAGCAGCAGCAGCAGCAGCAGCAGCAGCGGCAGCAGCAGTAGTAGGAGAGGGAGTAGCAGAAGCAGCAGCGCGTTTGGCTGTCTCCTTCTCTTTTTGTGTTCGTTTGTCTCCTCCTATTCATTTGTTTGTCTCCATTTGTTTGTCTGTCTCCTTCTCTTTATTTAGCTGTTTGTCTCATTCGTCTCCAGTCGTCTATATATATATATATATATATATG